GACCTTGCCATGAGAAGGAGGCAGGGATGAAAGGACTTCCCTCCAATCCTTCAAACACTTCTTTTCCATCTGGGAATGTGCATTGGGAAGGGAATAGTTACAGCTTCTGGCCTCACCAGTTGACCACAGGGTGGTCAACTGGAAATTTGATTCCAAAAGATTTCAACAGCAAGGCTGTCAGAAATCTTCCCTGGTTTTATTTGTTTGTTTGGCTCATGTTTTAGCGTGGGATTTTCTCATGTTTTCACTTACTTCTTTGTGGTGAGGCAAGTGTTGCCTTCAGAATCAGGATGCATGACAATGACTAATTAAGACATTTTAAAATTTACCAATTTTTGTAATTTCTTGTCAACTTAATAGAAAACTATATAAGAAATGGACATCTTCCATGACATTTTGGGAGGTTGGTTGTTTCAGTGCCCATTTCTATAATTATTCAAGATAGTGGATTTGCTGACAACAGCAATAGAAAGATTATTTTATATCAGTTAAATTTAGTTGAAGATGCTCCCTGCTCATTGCAGGGGGGTTGGACTAGATGACTTCTAAATGTCCCTTCCAACCCAAACTATTCTGTGATTTTATGCAAGTCCTTTTATAACATTGTTGGAAGCAGAGGTGGACTCTGCCTGCTGAAGCAATCCAGCTGAGAAATTCTGGCTTTTGGGAAAAAGCAGGTTCCCTGTTCAAATGGGACACAGAGAGCTGGAAATATGTGGTTTAAAAGTGTCCTGGTGCAGGCACATTTTGGATTTCCTGCTGCAGAACATGAGGCCTGATGAGGCAGGACGATTAACCCAGGAAATTGGGACAGGCTATTTGGCTTTTGTTGAAGCCACCACGAAGAGTCAGGCTGGAGTTCTAAAACAAAGTGGAGGCTTTTCAATTATCATTAAAAAAAAAAAAGTGGAAAAGAATGGTAACGATAGAGCAGAATCTCATCTGACTTCAGTTAGTAAAACTCCATAGGCTCTGCTGAATTTACATTAGAGCAGCTTCAGATCTGCATCTTTTCAAGTTTACTTCAAATGTCCCCTTTGAGCCTGGAAATCTGGAGAACTTGGGAGCATTTGATGCAATCCCCAAGCAATACAAAGGGGAGCCTGTTCTAATTGGGACTGCCTCATTAGCATTCAACACCACACTGAAAAATGACAAAGGGCTGTGGCTGACCTTTCATTTCTCTCCATGCTGCCAAGCTTATGATAACACTTGTTTGAACTTCATTAACACCATTTAATTGCCTGCATCACAATCAATATGATGTTTCCCTACTGAAGCCTGGCACGGAGGCAAGGATGTGGGAGACTGAAAAGGGGCAGAGCACAAAAAGCAGAAGTCAAAGAGTTTTTCCATTTCACACTGGTGCCCAAAACACCTGCAGGGCTGCAAGGAGAGGATCTGGTGCTCTTTTTTTCATTCCTCATCCCTGCAGGGACCCGGTCTCCTTTTGGCTGCTTATTGTGCATTGAAAAGGGCCCCTCTAAGAAAAACTTAAAGGAGACATCACAAGTGTTCTTAACTTAGGAGTCATCCAATGAAGACCGTTCAAAATAGGTTTGCTAGGTTCATGATCAAAAGAAGCTTAAAGTGATTTGATATGTGGGTTC